GGCGTGGCTCTCGTTCAGCACGAAGCCCCCCGGCGGCGCACTCGCCGAGCGGGGCTGCCGGGCTCGGCCTCCGGTGGCCCCTTCCCTCCCACGCGAAGGGGGGGGGGCCCCGGCGACGCCTGCCTCGCGGCCGGCCCCACTTCGTCTTCTTCCGGGTGGGGGCTCAAGGCGGCGCCCCACTCCAGGGGGTCCACAGGCGGGCTTGATGCTGCCGCCTCCTCCCCCACAGGGAGGGCCTCCTCCTCGTCCACCTCCTGCGCTCCTCCGCTCGTGCGCGGGTAGGCGTAAAGAAGAGCGGGGCCGAGGAGGGGGGAGGGGCCCTCGGCGGGTGGCTCCCGATTGGTGTTCGGAGGGGGGCGCGGGAACGCGCCAGGCCCGAGGGGGGGTTCTTCCCACCCACGACCGCCCCTCGGGCGCACGGACCCGGGCCCGGGGAGGGTTCCCCCGCCCCGAGACTGGCAGGGTCCGATCCTCCCCCGACGAAGGCGCGGGGCAACGATCCGGTGGTAGTACTCCGCGGGGTCCTCGACGACGAACGTGCGGGGGATCTTCACGCGGGCTCTCCCGCGCACATCCGGGGCTGTGGCATGGGCCGTCAGCTCCGGCAGCGCGGTTGGGTGGGAGCCCATCTCGGCCTCCACGGACCGGAGCTCGTCCCGCATCTTCGCCCACCAGTGCCACGTGAGCTCCTCCCAGACCTCCATCAAGTCGGCGAGGGACAGGTACTCCGGCCGGTCTTGATGTTCGCGCAGCAAGAACCGCAGGGCGGTGGTCCTGGGCAGTGAGTGCTCCTGCCCATAAGTCAGGGCGAACACCCGGATCTGCGTCTGGGCGGCCTCCGCCCACGTGCCAAGGTCTGCGGGGGCCGGCGAGGGGGGCTCCCTCCTGCGTCCCTCCGCGGCGACGAGGGGCCCGGCGTCCGCGCCCCTTGCGACCACGAAGTCGGCCACCGTGAGGGCGTTCGGCTCGGCGGGCCCCGCCTTAGGGGCACCCATCAGGCAGGCCGCCAAGCCATACGCAATCCGGTTGCTGAGCGGGAGGGGCCAGCCGACCCCCTCCAGCAGGGCGAGGGCCCCCCGGCCATGTCCGCGCAGGGTCAAGTAGAGCTCCCGCCCAAGATGGGCAGGTCCCACGGCCACCTGGAAGGCGCCGCATCCCCGCGCGAGGTGGCATACCCTCCGCGCGGCCCCTTGGAGGTACATGAGGTCCCCCCCCCGCCCTCTTCCCTCGCGGGGGGACGGTGCGCCCGCAGGAGCGCGGGAACGGAGGAACCCTTTCGCTTCCTTTCTCCGGGGACGACGGCCTGAGCCGATTCGGCGGGGGTTCCCTCCACAGGCTGGAGGGCGCGGGGGCTCCCCCCCCGCCTCCACGGGGGCGCGGGGCGGGGGTCCTGGGGCTTCAGCGGCAGCTTGGGGGAGGTCGCCCGCGGTCGGAGGGCGAGGGCCCGCACTGCGCCCCCTGCCCTTCCCCATAGGGCAAGTTGGGCAGTGACCTCCTCCAGCCGAGGACGCACCGAGGGGAGGAGGAGCGGATTTTCCAGGTGCTCCCGGGCCTGCTCCAGAATCGCGGTCCGCACTCGGCGTGGCTTCCGGCCCACGGCTGCCGCCACCTCCAGTATCTTCGCCCCCGTCGGCTTGCCCGTGGCACCCGCCTGGAGGTACAGCCCCAGCTCCGTGCTGTTCGGCTCCATCACCGGCGTTCCCCCCGCCCGGCGCCCCGGGGCGTGGCCCCTCCCCAACCTCAGCAGCTCTTCCTTGCTTGAGGGCGCGTGGAGCAGGCGGGCGATGCGACCGCCTCGAGGGGGTGGGGAGGCAGATCTTCCCTCCGCGCGCAGGATGGAGCGCGGCTCCCCAAGGGCGTTGCACAGCGCTCCCCCTCCCCGAGCTTGCTGCCCGGGAGGGATAACCCGCGCGTAGGGGTGGGGGGGGCACTTGCAGGTCAGGAACTTCGCCCACTGCAGCAGGTCGGCCAGCGCACAGGGCCCCCCCCCGCCCTCACTTGCTTCCCCCAGCTGGGCATAGGTGGCCTCCGTGATTTCCTGGGCGTCAAATGGGGGGCGGGAGGCGTTGAGGCGCCCCTCGGAAGAGAGGCTCCAGGGTCCCACCGCCCGCAGCGGGAACGTCAGCTCAACCTCCACTCCTGGCAACCAAATCCCCGCCCAGTCCTTCTTCCCTCCTCTCCCCCGCGCCTCTCCCCGCCCTATCCCTCGGGCAGTAGTGTAAGGGCGGGCGCCTTCCCCGGTGTCGGCGGGCTCGTAGAGGCGGATCAAGTACTTCCGTCCGACCGTATCCTCTGCCTGGGTGGGGATGGTCAGGGGTGGCGTAGCCCTCCCCCCATTCACAGTCGTGGGGGCCTCCCCATCCCTGTCGGGGGTGCCTTCAGACACGAGTGCGCCCGGGACGCCGTGCGTCAGCTGGTGGCAGTCAGATCCCACCGGCACGCCAGGGGCGGCCGCGGGGTTAGGGGACACCTCCTCGGAGGCGGCCGGCTCCGCGGGCGGGGGGGAGGGAGGCCCCCCGGTTGCCCCCAGCGCGGGCTTCCCCTCCGCAGGGCCCGCAGTGGGGACCGCGGAGGGTTCGGCGGCTGGCCCGGCATCGCTTAGGCGCGCTGGGTCAGGGGGGGACTTGCTAGCGTCCGCCCTTCCCTCCCCCTCTCGAGCAGGCTGCGGAGAGGGGTTCGCGTGCCTGAGACAGAGGCGCTTCCCACCGAACCCGGGTTCCCCAATGTGCCAGCAGCCTGGCTCCGAGCACTGGAGGCTCAGGCGGAGGTTGTGGTACTCCAGGCCGTGGTAGCGGCACAGGCAGGCCATCGGTGCCCCTCCCCCGTTGCGCGGCCATCCCCGGGTGTCGGACGTGGGCCCGTCCTCGATGAGCAAAGGGGTGGGCTTGGGTCCCCTCCGATCCTCGCAAGTGCCATGCTTCTGGAGGCAACAGTACCCTCCCTTCGCGTCCATCCAGCCCACTGCTTCGGCCATGCAGGGTTCCCAGTCGTCTTCCTCCTGCTGAGGCCCCCGGGGGATCGCGGTGACCTGGCGCGGCCCCGGCCGGTGCAGGCGGCCCCCCCTCCGGCAACAGCAAAAACCCCGAGCCAAGAAGGAGTGGGCGATGCGCTGGACCCCACCCCAGAATGCCCTCCAGAGGGTGCGGAAGCCGGCCAGGAAGGGGCTTCCCAGGTCCCTGTCCTCGGTGAGGTCGAGGATGGCCTTGGCGTCGACCGCGGTATACTTCCGGAAGTGCATGGCGAAGGCGTCCACGCTGGGACAGCCGCCCACGGGTCCCGCCCTGCAGAGGTGGACCACCTTGATGTCCGCACCCTCCAGGCGGCGTCGGAGGTCAGGGTCCGTGCAGTCATGCACCCGGGCGCACGGGAAGTCCTGGCCCGCCCGGTTCTCCTTCCGGATGGGGTCACCGTACTGCCCTCGATCCAGGCGTACCCGCTGGCCCCCGACTTCGGCCACGAGGTGGTTGGGCAGCCTCGGGGGCTGGTCGCTCCTCCCTCGGATGATGTCCTTGAAGAAGTCGTCGTCCACGGGTTGGGCATCAGGCCCCCTCCAGTCGAGATCGAGGAGGAACCGGCGGTTGTCCTCCACCCGGGTGCAGAAATCGCGGAAGGTGGGGGAGCGCCTTAGACGGCGGTAGAACCAGAAAAAGGGGCGGGCCAGGTGGTCGAGGAGGAGGACCAGAAAGCAGATCCCCATGGCGCCCAGGTAGAAGGAGCCCAGCACGTACACGACTACCTTAAAGCTCACCCACCTCTCCCCCACGAGGACGGTCAGGCCGGCATCCAGCCATCCGTAGGACCACACGATGAGGCGGAAGAAGAAGTTGGGGCTAGGGACGCTCCGGACCTCCAGCACCACTTCCCGGCGGCGGCCGGCAAACCAGTGGCTCTCCCACCAGGGGGTCGCGTCCGCCTCCTCCTGCTCCTCCTCCGTGGGGGTGGGAGAGGCCCACTTCAGCCATTCCACGAACTCCTCCGCGGGGATTTGCTTGGACCAGGGTAGCCCGTCCCCCGGCTGCGGAGCGGGGGAGGTGTGCCCCCCGCGGAGGGCCGAATGCGGCGGGGGCACGGTTCCCGAGCCTGGTCCCGCAGGTGCGGGGGGTTCGGCGGGGGCGGAGAAGCTCCACCAGAACGGGGTCGGCGTCCCACCTGGGGTGTTCTCCGGCGGGGTCGGCGAAGGCGTCCTCACTTCGGCGGGACTCACCGCCGGCGTGGCAGACGGGGGGGCTGGCGCGCGGGCCCACCCAAGGGAGTCGCCCCAGCGCCCGGGCGGCACGTCCACGCTTGTGGGGCTGGCCTGCGGCGATGCCGGGGCGAACGCGAACGACGCGAGTTCCCCCCACCAGAGGGGGGTAGGCGTGCCACCCGGGGTGCTGCCTTGGGCCGAGCCTCCCGCCCTGGCGGATCTCCCCGGGATGGGGGAGAGGATGGGAGTCAAAGTAGGGGCTGCGAGGTTGGATGAGGTGGGGAAGTCCCCTCCCTCCCCGAGAGATAGCTCGGGGTGGTTCCCGTCCTGAGCGGCGGCCGGGTCTGGGGCTGTGGGGGCGTCCGGCCCAAGGGCTCCCTGTCGAGGGGGAGACTGCTCCTTGGGGTCGCCACCCGGATAATGCTCTAGTGGATCGGGTGGGGCGTCATCCAGCCCGCAGGTGATAGGGTCCCGTGATAGCCAAACGGGGTGCCCGTATCCCCTCCGCGCCCCGTGGGGCGGGTGGGTCCCTGCGGCGAGACGGCCCACTCCACAGAGGACCGCGGCGGCCGAGACAAGCGGGACCGCCAAGCAAGCGAGGCCAAACATGAGTTAAGGGGGACACCCCCTCCGCAAAAAGCGCTGCATAGACTAAACAGCTGCGGGAGCAGGGAGGAGGAGGGGCGACAGAGCACTACGGCCAGGGGGGGATAAAACCGTTTAGGCGCATGCCAAACGAAACCATCTTCACGCCTTCTCCTCCTCCTCCTCCACCTCCTCCTCCTCCTCCTCCTCCCGAGCCCTTCGGGGCTGCCTGGTGGATGTAGTTCAGGGCCAACGCCAACTGGATGAACCACATCATGATCTGGTCCTGGCCGAGAGCCGACGGCAGGATTCCCCCAGTGCGCCGACATCGACCGGAGGAGGGAAGGGAGATGGAGGAGGAAGCGGAGGAGGAAGAGGAGGCCCTCGTCCTCCACATCAGGGCTCGGAGCTGCGGACATTGGATCCCTGTCACAGGTGCTGCTCTCGCGCGTTCCTCTCCTCCCCATCAGCGCGAGACCTTGATGGGGTGCGGGGGGGGGGCGCGTGTGAGCGTGAGCCGCCTTCGTCCGCGAGTCGCGCGGCCAGCGTGTCGTCGTACCCTGCTTGCGGCTGGCGAATCAGTTGGCCAGCCAGCGAGTCGTGCGGCTGGCGTGTCGTGTTTGTTCTTCTCCTCCTCCTCCTCCTCCTCCTCCTCCTCCTCCTCCTCCTCCTCCTCCTCCTCAACATCCTCCTCCTCCTCTTGCCCCGCTTCCTCCTCC